AAATGTGCTTCGCGCCACAACGGCGTGCAATTTTTCATCTCTCATCTGGCCAGCTGGCTCCGCACCCGCCGCTTTAGGGAGCCTACTTTTCGACCCTCCAATCATTGGAAAAACACAGTGAATCGCGACTTTCCTACCTTTTCGCGCATCTGCATCTTCTTTCTTCCTGACTCTTTCTCTTCTGATCTTCTCTCTTCTAATCTTCCTCTTCTCTCTGCCTCTGCCCTGCTCTGCTTTTCATCTGTCCATATTGTCGGAAGTTTGACTTCTAAACTTCCTTCGATAATTATATTTCCGTTGGTCTACACTGTTATCGTGGGTATATATACAAAGGGTCCAGACTTGTTTTTGGAATTACTTTCTTTTCCGTTTGTTTTTTTTGGATCTGCTGTTCCGTCCGTTTCCCTTGCAATTTGCAAAATTTTGGAGCTGGTAGCTGCCATTTCATCGGTATTGGCAACATTTTGGAGTTTGAACCTCTGTTTCCATAGTATTTGCAACATTTTGGTGCTCAAACTTTTCATGTTGTATGATGTTGGATGGTGTTTTGCAACTAGGGGCCCTTTAGGGTTTGTTTAGGTTTGTTTCAGGGTTCATTGTTGTTGTATTTAGCGGGTTGGTTTAGGGTTGGTTGAGTCTTTCCAATGGTTGGTTTTGATTTTCCCCAAACAGTGTGTCCACACTGAGGGGCTCTTACGGTAGGAGTTAAGGCCGGTGCTGGTGCTCACTCTGGGCCCGGGCATTTTTCCTGTAAATTTCAGTATAAGTGGCTCTTGTGACATCTTGACATGCGTTTCGACTGCGCAGGCTCGCACCAAGTGTGGGTCGCGGTTCTGGTCCCCGGCATTTTTCCTGTAAATTTCCATATAAAGTGGCTCTTGTGAAATCTTCAAATGCGTTTCGACTGCGCGGACTCGCACAAAGTGTGGGTCGCGGTTCTGGGCCCCGCAGTGACTATACCCTTCTGGTAATCAAACATGACATGCTGGAGACGCCACATGCTTAAAGCCTCCATTACAATGGCTTTCCCGGCCAGCTATGTTTGATTGCCAAAGACTATCCCCACATGTGCTGGAAAACCCCGCAACGCCGAGCGTCGGTCCAGGGGCTCAAGGGCACAGAGGCCGCCAAAGCTTCCAGAGAATCCCAATAGGCAGGGGGTTGATTGAAGATACGGAGCCTGGGACGTGGATTTCAGGGACTTCGGAGAGACCTCAAATAAAAGATTACCATACGCATTTATAAAAAATGAGGGCATACACAAAGCAAAATTTATTATAGGTATAATTAAACCCCATACTTGGTAGCTACACATATATAGCAACTCCGAAAAAGAATGAAAAATAGAAGCATGCTTTATCACAGAGATGCAAGAGTTTAATGTGTGTAAGACACACGTGTGCAGGAAGGTATGCTGTGCAAAACAAACAACATCAAACAATATCAAACATCTACATTCACACATGTTTGTACGTTGGCCCAAGTCTCATTAAAAAAACAGTGGTGTTTTTCAGCACCAAGTGACTTCTCCAAGAGTTGTGTATCCAACTTGGCCTCCAGAAAGGAACCGCCCGGGACTAGCAAACTAACGCGGTGCGGACGCAGCCAGGAATACGCAGACCAGAAGCCATTGTCGTGTTTGCTGGAGCTGGCCCAGTAGAGGCCCAAGTATCCTGAGAGCGGATATTTAGCGCTGATCAATCATCATCGGAGGGGATGGAAACCAAAGGATCAAACAGCACTGTGATAATCATTTGGGGCTAAATTCAAGGGGTTGTCTTGGTTAAAAAGAAAACTACATGGTACTTCCCATGTGTAGCTTGCTCTGCGGCAATTTTTCTGTGTTCAATGGGGAATGTCATGTGGAAACTGGGTAGCGGGTAGCGGTTCATTTTCAGCCACACTCACTTCCCTATCTCACCCTCTTGGTCACCCTCATGTTGCGATTCCAGCTTCGAGCAAAGACTTTCCCGGTGAAGTGTGGCTTCAGGTCCTGCGTCCGCGTCAGCCGCAAAAAAAACAAGCAAAACATTTTGGGGAACATGCCGGGGCACGCGTACAAAACGAAAAACAACAAGAGAGAACAGTAACATCAAGTTAAAATAGTAGCGGAATACTTTACAGTAATACACGTGCGCATGTGTGTGTATGTCTGTATGTATGTATGTATGTATGTACGTACGTATGTATGTATGTATGTATGTATGTGTGTATGTAAGTATGTCTGTCTGTCTGTCTGTCTGTCTGTGTGTATGTATGTATGTATGCTTGTATGCATGTATGCATGCATGCATGTATGCATGTATGCATGCATGCATGTATGCATGTATGCATGTATGCATGTATGCATGTATGCATGTATGCATGTACTCATGTACGCATGTATGCATGTATGCATGCATGCATGTATGCAGGTATGTATGTATGTATGTATGTATGTATGTGTGTATGTGTGTATGTAAGTATGTCTGTCTGTCTGTCTGTCTGTCTGTCTGTCTGTCTGTATGTATGTATGTATGTATGTATATAATTGTATGTATGTATATAATTGTATGTATGTATATAATTGTATGTATGTATATACTTGTATGTATGTATGTATGCATGTATGTATTGTACATTTATGTATGTCATCAGATCCTACAGCCAGCATCATGACATGGGCCTGTCCAAAAAAAAAGAACACACCCGAACATAGCCAAGAACCATCACAATTGTAGGTGCTTTCTTGGCACACTCCAAAAAACACAAACATCAAAATATGGCAAGTCCCATCAAGTCCCATAAGTCTTTCACGGAAAACATGATAAAACATGTATCTTCAAGTGGGAAGCTGAATGTGGGACCACACTTTAGCTGTTTAAAATTCAGCTCCTCGAAAAAAATCAGGAGCATTCCAAGGGGTATCCCACCTTGCCCCACGGCCGGGCACTCCAGCAAAAATCGATGCCGTTGCGTCTCCGCGAAGGCTTCCCAGGCATTCAGCTGACCACGCCACGGTCCTCCCAGGCTTTCATTGAATGTAGCAATCCACAGTCTTCCTCATTTTCGAGTTAGCTCAAAACATGTAGCTGGCTCAATTTCAGAAGGGGTCATGCGTTTGACCTTTGATGTTTGTGCTGCTGTGTAGGCAGATTTGGCCCAAAACGTGGCTCCTAAATTTCTGGGCTGCAACAGAAACACCATCTCTATTAAACGAATCATGTGGGACTGAACCTGGCAATTGAACACAGTGGGAAGCAATTTGCAGGCTCTCAAGTAGAATGAGCTACCTCAGCAACACGGCGCTAGCTCAAACACATCGGTCTAGCTCGATGGCATCGAGCTGGCTCAATTTTTTTGAACGAAAACAAAAGATGAAAAAAAAGAGTTCGAAAAAATTGAGCCAGCTACGTCACTGTGAGCTGGCAAACAAATATGGGAGCTAACAACGAATCCATAATATGTATTGGCCGGGGTGATGACGGCACACCGAGCTGGCTCAAGGGCATGTAGCTGGCTCAATTTGTTCGCGTTGTTTTTTTTTCCGTTTTTTTGACTCCAGAAAAAATGAGCCAGCTACGAGGCGCTGAGCGCGTAATGAGGGTGGCAACGAGAAAATAGTGAATCTGTACTTTACGGGACCAATGGATTTTCCGATGCAGCCTTTGCAATTCCACCAAATCAAATTTTTGATTAATTCTGGCACCATATGAGATAAAATAGAAGACTGGCAGTCTATCCATATGTATACATATATAACCCCAACCGTATAGTTTTGGTTAATCTGAGGCAACACCAGTTTTCTTGAGGGAGACGCGTACCCTTGAGCTGGAGGGAGATTGGGAAAAGTAACTTTCGATATCTTTCGATTTAATTTAATGATGGCTTCAATGCGAGATACAAGTGGTTGAAGGAACAGGAAAACAAGCACTGTATGATACTACGGGTGTCCCAGTACTGAGGGCACCCGCATCACTTAGGGCAACACCAAACGCATCACTTCAGGCAACATCCAGAAATCACACACTCCTCACACTTTGGACGCTCACTTTGGGCAACACCGATTTGATCACTTTGGGCCACACGGAAAACATCCTTCTTATCATCTAATTACTTGACTCAGACATTTGGGGTTTGGTTGGGGGGTGGGGAGGGATCATTCTACCTACATCATTGCTTGACTCAGCCATTTAGGGTTTGATTGGAGGGTACGGAGGGATCATTCTACTTACATCATTACTTGACTCAGCCATTTGGGGTTTGGTTGGTGGAGTGGGGAGGGATCATTCTACTTACATCATTCTTTGACTCAGCCATTTAGGGTTTGGTTGGTGGAGTGGGGAGGGATCATTCTACTTATTTGACTCAGCCACTTTGGCTTTGGTTGGGGGGTGGGGGAAAAACCATTCTACTTACATCATGACTTGACTCAGCCATTTAGGGTTTGGTTTGGGGGGTGGGGAGGGATCATTCTACTTACATCATTGCTTGACTCAGCCATTTAGGGTTTGGCTTGGGGGGCTGGGGAAGAATCATTCTACTTACATCATTACTTGACTCAGCCATTTAGGGTTTCATTCTACTTAGATCATTACTTGACTCAGCCATTTAGGGTTTGGTTGGGGTGGTGGGGAGGGATCATTCTACTTATTTGACTCAGCCATTTAGGGTTTGGTTGGGGGGTGGGGAGGGATCATTCTACTTACATCATTGTTTGACTCAGCCATTTAGGACTTGGTTGGGGGGTGGGGAGGGATCATTCTACTTACATCATTGCTTGGCTCAGCCATTTAGGGTTTGGTTGGCGGGAGTGGACAACATGATGATGGGGCACCCGCCCTCCGACCCCTCATGATGGTCAGCATGATGATGATAATGAGGGTGATGAAAATGTCTAGTGTTGACGACGACGACGACGACGACGACGAGGAGGAGGAGGATGATGATGATGATGATGTTGAGGTATCTCGAAGCGATGCATCAGGCGTAGCCCGAAGCGATGCACTCGACGTATCCCGAAGCGATACGCTTGCCGTAATTCCCTCAGTGAAGCGATACGCTTGCCGTAATTCCCTCAGTGACTCCTCAGATGTTTTGAATTCATCGCCATGTTATCGAAAGTGGGCAAAACCGCGACCTAGTCCTTTCATGAATGAATTTAGGGACCATACCGTGCCGGTGTTTCAGGTCTGACTTGGCCTGCTGTTGAAGGAGTACATCTGGGTACCGGGCACGAATTGGATATGATTGGTGGTATATCACCCAACATTCTATGGGTGATGGGATGCACTGGGGTATGCGCACGCACACATGCGTATGTATACACTTATCATAGACTTTCCCGCTGCTTCTCCTCTTCTCCTCTTCCCCTCCTCAACTGCGAGCTCCAGAGATCAGTGGGCACTGCCGGTCCTCAACCGCGAGCGCTAGATATCAGTGGGCACTGCCAGACCTCAAACCACGAGCTCCAGATCTCAGTGGGCACTGCCGGACCTCAAGCGTGAGCGCCAGATCTCAGAAAGCACTGCCAGACCTCAACCGCGAGCTCCAGCTCTCAATGGGTATTGCCGGACCTCAACCGCGAGCTTCAGAGAAAGAATGTCAGAATAGCTGCCAGATAGATGCCAAAAAGAATGCCAGACTAGATGCCAGAAAGAATGCCAGAATGAATGCCGGAAAAGATGCCGGATAGAATGCCAGAAAGAATGTCGGAATATATGCCAGAAAGTATGTCAGAAAAGATGCCAGATAGAATGTCAGATGGAATGTCAAAGTATATATGCCAAAAAGAATGTCAGATAAAGTGCCTGCCTAAAACATGTGCCATATAATGCAATATATACTTCCAGATGGTATTTCAGAAACTGCGTCAGAATAATGTTTCAAGGTGGGGATCACTCGAAGAAAGTAATTGTTTGACAAACCATCCATCATCTAGTGATTCCCCAAATCCCCAAACATTTCAATGTGACAATGCATCTGATGCAGTCCTTTGGCACTCTTCGGGTCAGCATGGATACCTCAATTTGCTTGGCTTTGGCCCATCGGAGGTAAGTTGAATTGGGACTTCTCACCAAACCATATGCCAAACCATCTGATATCTGGTGGAGACAAAACTACCACCTCCCAGTACCCAAAGGTACCCCTCTCAACAGATCTCAGCAGTAGGAACTTTTCTCAGCTCCTCATGGGGGTAGATGCCCTATAAGAGGGCCACCTATCGGGGACCAGGTATACCGCGGCCTGTTCAACCCTAACCACTGCAACGACGCGACCAATCGTCACCTCCTCTGGTGAGGGCGGCGAGACTTTCCTGCCATGCTCCGCCACGGACACTTTGGACAGCGGCAGCTTTCGTCGCAGCAAATGCCTCCGCTGAATTCGTCGAAGGCGCTTCTGCAGCTGTGTCCAGTAGAGGACACGCCAGTAGTCGAACTTGGCGGTCCTGTCGTTCCATCGCAGTTCGGCTTCGTGTGTGTGAAGGGGGGGCCCTATGGTTGCGGCTGAAAAAAATCAGGTACGGATCAAAGGGTTGAAAGACTCTGTCGATCCAAACTCCACATCCATACCCAAAATGCGGGCAGCTCCACATTCGATCCTTCACACCCTTCACCACAAGGATTGCCCATTGCAGTTGCAATTTGGAGTATACAACATTTTCAGACACTGCCAAATATCTGATGGCTAGGTGCATTCCCATCATATGCCCCATGCACCCGTGCACCCCATTGATCATCACCATGTTGAGGCTGAGGGACGCGTCGAAACCAGGCATCACGATGGACGAGGTGTGCAGAAACAACATCCCCAAACCTTCCAACGAAGGGAAATCTTGTCCAATCTTACTTCCCCTGCCAAGATCATAGGGTTTCAAACATCCCCCCACCAAAAAGAAGAGTTCATTCAGGGTTTGCTAGCCACCAACAACTATTACTAATCAGGGCGAATTTTAGCATCGATGATTTGGAAGGTACCTTGGGGGGATGGTTAGACATGGTTGGACCCTCATTACAAGAACGAGAAACTAGCTGGTTAATACATCTCCCCATGCATATAGCAAAAGATCATTAGATACTAAGCCACCCATCCAATTGGTTTCTCCGGAAATTAATAAAATCCAATCTGGCTGTGTGGCAGATAAACTATGTGCCAATGCAGGCACACACAAACAAAACAAAAATATGGTCGAACTATATCAAGATAGCTCATGATTCAGCATAAGTCATTCCCAGACTGAACATTTCGCAATGATGTTGATGGATTCCCCCGTAAATCATCCAAAGTGAAGTCGCTGCTGTCAGGCCGATGCCGCTACAACCCATCTGTGAATCTAGCAAGTGCTAGTAACTTGGTCATCATCATCATCATCACCATCATCGCCATCATCATCATTATCACCACCACCATCATCATCATCGCCATCATCATCATCATCATCATCAATCATCATCATCATCATCATTGTCATCATCAAGAAGGGTAGTTAGTGGAAATGAACTACCTCAGAAACGACCGACAACATGATTTGGTCACCTCATCGTGGACAGCTATATCATGATTCTCCTGCTTTTAAGATTAAGAAGCGGGATCTTGCAGCACTATTTCTTTGGTTCCATCTATGTTCAAACATCGCAATCAACAGGATCAGGGAGCAGGGAAGACACCCTGGACAAACAAGAGAAACGTATCTTGTTGGATCTTTCCCCACCTCAGGGTGCCCGAGCGAGGTAGAAAGTTTTGAATTGTAGAGACCGACTAATATGGCTTGACAAGTTTCTGAGGATGCAATTTACCCCTACACAGTGAATCCCTGCAAAAAGCAGCCTGCTTCGATAATGTTCATGGCCTAGTCACTGCACTGTTGCACCGTGGAACAGTTGCGCACCAGCACCGCGAAACGGTGGAGAGCAGATATCTTGGTAGAGCCCGGGGGGAACAAGGCCAAAGGTCTTGGCTGGGTCTCCGTTGCTGGTGTCGTGTGGTTGCAGCAGCAGAAATTGAACCACGCCATGAAACATGCAAACCCTCCATGACATTCCAAGGTACCCGTGGCTCCCATTCCTGCACAGGTAGGCCTGTGACCTGCCTCAGCACGTCACGGCGGTAGTTGTGTATATATCCGGAAAAAGCATGGGTACGGAGGACTTCACATCCTTCGAAAGCTCGACCGGCTATATTGACCTATATATATATATTGTATCATTACATTTGTATGCAGCTTAAGCTTAATATTTTCCACGTGTATCAATCCAACAATTGCGGCTGAGCCTCCCCCAGACGGGCAAGCAATCAGCTCCAAGGTCAAAATTCCGAAGATTCAAAGGGTAGCAGCTGCCCACTGGGCCACTGGGGAAACTCATCAAGACTCATCAAGGCGATGAGTAGACACCAGCGCTGCCATGGAACGCGGCGATGAATGATTGATAAGACCAAAAAGACTTGGGGGCATGTTCCTAAGAAGCTTAAATTAAAGGTGAATATTATGTTGATAACATATTGGGCATGGATAACACCAGGGTTTACCACAGTAAAGAGGTTTCCTGGCATGTAATTAGTGTGGGCACCCTTGAAACAACTGCAATCCTCCTGGGTTTGAGGGCTCCTCATTCACTGCCCCACGGGCAAGCCCTCCACAGACGCCGACATTATTTGCTCACTCGTGTTTTGCCTCAAGCTACGCCACGATATTTGCTCTGAAATGCTACCCATATACAAGTGGCATTGACAGTACAGATAGATTTACAAAGGAAATTTAGTTCGAAAACTTCCGAGTTACGGAGGAATGTTTAGGGGCAGCTCTTTCATCATGTCATTGCCATCACGTCAACAACATTTTGTCATCATTCGCGTGTGGGAGCGTCGCCGAAGTAGGGTCTCTGTTTCCGCGGCTGCGGGCCTCGATGTGCACAAAAAAGTGCATGGGACTTTAGGGAGAGCTCAATCTTGGTCAAAAAAAAGCATCTCGCTGCAGGCGCGCAGCATTTTTAGAAGATGAGGTCGGCAAAACGCGCACAGGACTGTAGCAAAAGCCCGGTGTGATATGTTTGATTTTATATGAAAATTGAAAAAAACTTGCACGTTCGGAGCAGCCGTGGTTGAGTCTGCACTTTTGACTCTGTTCCGAACGTTGGTCGATGTCGATGTGATGCGACCCTCCTGCCATGCGGGTTTGCATCCGCTTGTGACAAAACGCATCGGCACGGCTGCGCGCAGTAAAGCAATGAGCGATGTTAGGATGCTCCTGGCAAGCGGGATTGCAGCTGGAGGTTGCTAAACGCATTGTAACAGCTGTGCGAAAGGTAGTTCTTGACCATAGCGCTACTCTTGTGCATGCAGGATTGCAGCTGGAGGTTGCTAAAGGCATTGTAAATCATGGAAACAGCAGAAGCTACAGAAGAGCCAGCTGGGAGGCAGATCAGAGCAGGGTCAGAGAAGAAGTAGCTCAGACAAGAGGCTACTATTCAGATAAGAAGTATAGCTGAGACAAGAGGTGCCTCAGCGAAGAGGTCGCTCACTGAAGAAGTAGCTCAACAAAGAAGCATAGCTCACTCGTCCATCCATCCATTCATTCGTTCATTCATTGATTCATTGACTCATCGACTCACTAATCAATTCGTTCATTCATACCATCACTGTTTCATTTGTTCACTGATTCATCGAGTCACTAGTTCACTCATTCATTGGCGCACTGATTCATTGTTCATTGGTTGATTGATTCACTGCTTCGTTGATCCATTCATTGATTTATATAGGCTCACTTTTTCACTCAATCATTGATTTCATGAATCATTGTTTCATTGTTCACTGAATCATCGATTCGTAATTCACTGATTCACTGAATCATCATTTGATTGTTTCACTGCTTCACTGCACTATCGATTCATTGTTTCATCGACTCATTGAAATGGGTTTCTTGATTCGCTGAGTCATTCATGCAAGTGATTCACTGATTCATTGATACATTGATTCATCGACTCACTAAGTCACTAACTCACTCATTCAATGATTCACTGAATCG